CAAGAAAACTTAGGAGGTCATGAGGAGAGATCTGTGACACAAGCCCAGAGCCCTCATGGCAACACCAGTTGTGGGTCTTGAGATAGCAATAGCTGCAGCAGCTTTGGTTGTTCTCAAGCTAGAAACAGTAAAGGAATCAGGCAACTGGTCAGAAAGAGATTAATGGGAATCCTTGTTCTAGTGCTGGATGTAGAACACATGGTTATTTGGCAGCTCCATTACCTATACCCAATTACGGGTCTCAGTTCCAAGTCAGAGAGGAGCATCTGCAGTCACAAGGGAGCAGATCCCTCAGAAGGGATCAGGGGCCTTGAGGGGCAGTAAGAATTGTGATACCAAGGGATCAGGGGTCCTTCCTGATGACCACAGCTCAGACCAGGAGAGCAGTGACCACACCTCTCCCTAGATCTCACCACTTTAGAAGTACCAAAAACTTTCAAACTCCCAAAACTAGCTCTGAAAACAGCAGTACAAAAAACCTGAAGTTTGTGATAATGCCTCTCCCCAGTCTCCAACCCAGGAACAGAGTTCAATTTTAACATAAAGTTCAAAGTGAAGAAATAGGCTGGGAAAATGAGCAAACAACAACAACAAAAAGAATTTGATGATAACATACGTAAAAAGCTACTATGATAACAAGAAAGATCAAGACACAAACTCAGAAAATGACAATGATGTCAAAATAGTTACAAGCAAAGCCTCAAAGGCAAAAAAAAAAGTGAATTGCACACAAGCCCAACAAAAATTCCTGAAAGAGCTAAAAGTGATTTTATAACTCAAATAAAAGTAGTAGAGGAAAAATGGGGGGGGGGAGATATGAACAACACAGAAAATTATGAAAAAAACAATTAATATCTTGATAAAAGAGACACAAAAAATACTGAAGAAATTAACACCTTAAACAACAGAATTGGTCAGATGGTAAAAGGTATAAAATGTCACTGATAATTTCTTAAAAATTGGAATCGGGCCCTGGAGTCAGGAGGACCTGAGTTCAAATCCTGTCTCAGACTAGACAATTGATACTTACTAGCTGTGTGACCCTGGGCAAGTCACTTAACCCCCACTGCAGAGCCAAAAAAAAAAAATTAGAATTGGGCAAGTGGAAACTGGTGACTCCGTGAAATATCAAGAAACAATAAAACAAAGTCAAAAGAATGAAAAAAAAGAAGAAAAATGTGAAATATCTTATCAGAAGGACAGCTGACCTGGAAAACAGATAAAGAAGAGATAATTTAAGAATTATTGGACTACCCAAAAGCCATGATCAAAGAAAGAGCCTAGACATCATATTTAAAGAAATTACAAAGGAAAACTGTCCTGTCAATAGAAATGGAAAGAATCTACTAATCACCTCCTGAAAAAGATACTGAAATGAAAACTCCCAAAAATATTATAGTCAAATTCAAGAGCTCCCAGGCCAAAGACTTCAAGCAGTCAGAAATAAACCATTCAAATATTATGGAGCCACAGTCAGGATTACACAAGATTTCACAGTTGCCACATTAAAGAAGCAGAGGGCTTGGAGTATGATATTCCAAAAGACAGGAGTTAGGATTTACAACCAAGAATAACCTACCCTGCAAAACTGAGTACAATCCTTTGGGGGGAGGGGGGAGGAGAGATGGATATTTAATAAAATAGAGGAATTTCAACCATTCCTGATGAAAAGATCTGAAATGAATGGAAAATATGACTTTCAAATATAAGACTCTAGAGAAGCATATAAAGATAAACATGAAAGAGAAATCAGAAGGGACTTAATAAGGTTTATTCTTATATGGGAAGATGATATATATAACTCCTAAGAACTATATCATTCTTAGGGCAGTTAGAAGGACTCTACATAGAGTGTACAGGAATGAGTCAATTATGTTGGAATGATCTCAAAAAAATGGAGTGAGAAAGAGATGCACTGGGAGAAGGGAAAATGGAGAGGAAGAATGAGATAAATTACCTTACATAAAAAGATGCACATAAGGAAAAGCTTTTACAGTAGAGAGGAAAATGGTGAGGGGATTGGCAATGCTTGAACCTCACTCTCATCTGAATTGATTCAAAGATCACACACAAACACATGTGTATACACATATATATGTATGTACATATTCGCGCATACATACACACATACATACATTCAACTAGGTATAGAAATCTTATCCAATAGAGAAGTAAGATGGGAAGAGGATAAGAAAAGGGGAGGTGATAAAAGGTAGGAGATTAAGGGAGGCAGTGGTCAGAAGCAAAACAGACTTTTGAGGAGGAACAGGATAAAAAGAGAGGGAAAGATAAACAGAAGAAAAGGATGGAGAGAAATGCTCAGTTGGTATTCATAACTGTGAGTATGAATGGGATGAACTCACCCATAAAACAGAAGTGGATAGCAGAATGGATTAGAAACCAGAATCCAACAATATATCATTTAAAAGAAAAACACTTGAAACAGAGACACACACAAAGTTAAAATAAAGGGCTGCGACAGAATCTATTATACTTCAGCTGAAGTAAAAAAGGCAGGGGTAGCAATCATGATCTCAGAGAAAGCAAAAGCAAAAATAGATCTAATTAAAAGGTATAAGGAGGGAAACCATATCTTGCTAAAAGGCACCATAGACAATAAATAATATCAATATGAAATATACATGCATCAAACAGCCTAGCATCTAAATTCTTAAAGGAAAAGTTAAATGAGTTACAGGAGGAAATAGCCAGTAAAACCATACTGGGCAGGAGGTTGGGGGGAACCTCAGCTTTCCCTTTTCAAAGCTATATAAATCCAACCATAAAATAAATAGAAAGAAGTTAAAGAAATGAATAGAATTTCAGAAAAGTTAGGTATGATAGACTTCTGGAGAAAACTGAATGGGAATAGAAAAGAGCATATCTTTTTCTCAGCTGTACATGATACCTTCACAAAAACTGATCATATATTAGGGCATAAAAACCTCACAAACAAATGTAGAAAAGCAGAAATATTAAATACACCCTTTCAGACCATAATACAATAGAGATTACATTTAATAAAGGGCCATGAAAGCATAGGTTAAAAATAAGCTAATCCTAAAGAATGAGGCCAAAGAACATAGAAACAATCAATAATTTGATTTTTTAAATGACGATAATGAGATAACATACCAAAATTTGTGGGAAGCAGCCAAATGATTACTTAGGGGGAAATTTATATCTATAAATGCATACCACACATCAATAAAAGAGAAAAAAAAAGCAAATCAATAAAAGGCCTAAAAAAAAGAACAAAATTTAAAATCTCAATTAAAAAACAATGAAAATACTAAAAATCAAAGGGGAAATTAATAAAATTGAAAATTTTTTTATTTAAAAATTAAACTTAGCTGGTTTTATGGAAAAAAAAACAATAAAGTAGATAAACCATTGCAAAATTTGATTTAAAAAAAAGAAAGAAAGAAGAGACTCTCAGAGTGGGCAGGGATCTCATGGGTCTCTGATTAGGCATCCTTAAAGGCAGAGATTGTCTTTTGCCTCTTTTTCGTATCCTCAGCACTTAGCACGGTGCTGGCATATGGTCAATGCTTAATAAATAGTTTATTGACTAACTGAAAAAGAATTCTTTATATCTGTCATTTCTTGTAGCACAATAATAATCCCTCAGTTCCTCATTTGTAAAATGATCTGAAGAAGGAAATGGCAAACCATTCCAGTATATTTGCCAAAAAAAACCCCAAATGGGGTCAATAAGAGTCAGACATGACTGAAATGACTGAACGACAACAATAACATCCTATTAAATTCACAAACTACAACTCTGTTCATCATTCCCCTGTTGATACTACCTCTTACTGTTATCACTATCTTTATAACTTTGGGCAACTCTCTCCCTCTCCCTGGGCTTCTGCTTTTTTATCTGTAAAAACAGGATAATACTTACAATACCTACCTCATAGAGGTGCTATGAGGAAAGCACTTGAAAAATCTTAAGGTGCTAAATGGGATGACCAAAGTTTAAAGTTGGAAGAGACCTCACAGTTCACTTCATCTAACCTCCTCATTTGAAGAAATTAAAGCCAAAAAAGGTAAATAACTTTGCCAAGATCACAAGGGAAGTACACGGCAAAGATGGGATTCAAACCCAGGTTCTTGATTCTCAATTGCAACATTCTTGCTGCCTCTCTTAAGTTCAAATAGCAATTATAGTCTTGTTACACAATTTACATTAGTGAAATTTAACACAAAATTGTCTCCAACTCCCCTTTCTATTCTGGAGAAGCTCTCTCTTATAATTATTTTAGTTATGAAGGCAGTCAAGTCTTTTCTCTCTAACCTCATGCCAAATGGCTCTTCTCAGAGCTGCTCACACCTCACTTCAACTTCCCTGGACTGTACCTACAGGATCTTTATGACTAAACTTTTCTCTTTCGTGGACACTAGTCCACAAGAAATGCTCAAGAGGAGCAATTGTATAATCAAAAGCAAACATTTCTGAGGAGGGACAGGGTCAAAAGAGAGAACAGAATAAATGGGGGGTAGGATAGGATGAAGGGAAATATACTTAGTTTTTCACAACAGGACGACTATGGAAGCATTTTACATGACTATACATCTATAGCCTGTATTGAGATGCTTGCCTTTTCAATGAGGGTGGGTGGGGAGGGAGAAGAGAGAAAATTTGTAACCCAAAGTTTTAAAAACATATGTTAAAAATAAAGAAAAAAATTTAATTTTAAAATTTTTTAAAAATATAAAAGAGCAGCAATTCTACCTTCTCTGACTTAGTCCCTCATGCTTCTGCCTACAGTTTCTCTGATAAATTTTTATTAGTGTCTTTTATCATCAGTCCCCAGATTGCTACCCTTCCCTCCCCAGGTACCACTGGGGCTTCCCATTTCCTGTGCTGTGTCACCTCTCAGAAAGCTATCTCTTCCAGCCACATAGTTTCTGACCTCTTCTCTTATCTTAGTATAAACATAAATAGGAGTATGTCTAAAATCGATTGACATTTTTATTAATGTGATACAAGTAAACTGGGGGAAGGACAGGAAAAGAACATTTTCAGACCACATGTGTTTTGTGGAAGAAAGATTCTAGCTATGCAAAAAGAGATTGTATAATGAGCCATCCACATACATAGGAAGAAAAAAAGCAGGTTATCCTGAATGAAACTAGTATTGACTATTTTTGTTTTGGCCTTCTGGCTTTTTACAAATCTAGATCAGGCAGAGAATGTGGCCTTAGCTAGGTGACAAGACAGGTAGAACGGACACTCATCTGCTTTCCCATGGTGTGTTTAATATCTTCCCAACTGGCGATTGTCTGGCCAGGTGAACTTATCCCACTTGCGGCACTTCATTTACCTGGATACAGTAGGAGATCTCTTCACACCCTAAAAAACTGGGCACCAGGTGAGCAAAAAAGACACTTTTCCGTGAAGTTTATCTTTTTGTCATTGCTCCTTTGTTCTGTAGGTCCATCCCTGCAAAATTTAGGGAGGTCTTCAGCCTATGTCCTACAGGAAATGCCTCACTTTGTGCAACAGAAGTTTATCCAAAAAGCTGCATCTTAAATGTGTTTTGTAAGAACTAAATCACATTTTGAAGTCACTTTAGAAGCAAAGTGGGTGATACCACCCCTCGCAGGCGCTAGAATGATCCAGGAGGGTAGTGGTAGCCTTCGGGTGCAATTGGGGGGTTGAATAAAAATAAGGGGGTGGTGGAAGCATAAGGAAAGAAGATAAGAAAATTCTGAAAAATCATTCGTACATGTTTCATCTGTTTTGTAACAGAGTTAAAGTCGTAGTGATTATATTAAACCTACAAAATGCAAGTTATAACGGATCAGTGGTCAAGTGTACAGACAGGTTTTAAGAAGCAAGTGTTGGCAGGCCAGGGGTGCCCATTGTCAGGAAGTCCAGCATGCATCAGCAGAAATGTGTGCACATAATGACTTGTATACAATACAATACTATATAGTTACATGACATAATTTGCATCATCAAAATTTCAATGCAGGAAAACTCCACAAATTTACAATAAATTATTCAATGTAAGATGCATCATTTAAAATATATATATATGTACATATATATGTATATATGTACATATATATACATATATACACATGTATATATATACATAATATTTTTTTGAAATGACACAAATTAAAAAAAACATTTAAGGGGAGCCAAGATGGTGGAGTGAAAAGGTATTCAATCTCACTCTCCCCTATCAACCTCTGAAAACCCAGAAAATATCAGCCCAGAAAAAAAAAAAACCTGGAACACCTGAACTAGAAGAAAGACAAGGAGCAGCAGTGCAGTAGCCCAGCAAACGGTCTCCCAGTGCCTCAGCAAAAACAAGGGGCCCCAGGCGGACAAGAACCCTGTGGCATTCGTCTGAAAGGAGGTGAAGAAAACAACCTAAAGGCTTCCTAAAGCCCGCCTTGCTGATTCCAACCCAACACCAGGTGAGCTGTAGGAGCCCTGAAGCATCCAATTGTGAAGAAATCCTGAAGCCCAGGTGGTAGAGCAGCAAACACCAACACCTGGACCTCCGAGTGCCTCAGTGAGGGTGGGGGAACCGGTGGAAACCAGCTCAGAAAACCACCAGAAGTCTGGGCAATCCAACCCAAAGGAATCTCCCAGTGCGTTAGCAGAAACGAGGGAGACAACACTGCAGGGGGCCCCAGGCAGACAAACATCCTGCAGCACCATCTAAAAGGAGCTGAAGAAAGCTAAAGGAAAGGAAAAGCAGGCAACCTAGAATTGCCTGAAAGTTCCAGCCTTGCTGATTCCAGCCCAACACAAGGTAAGCTGCCAGAACCCTACAGCTTCCAATTCCCAGCATAAGAGGCCCCAGAACCAAAGCCAGTGACCAAGACCTAGGCTCCCAACACAAGAAGCTTGGGTCAGTACCCTCTGTTCCCCAGCAGGAGAGCTCAATCTCTTTAAAGGCCAGGGAATAAAGAAACACCATGAGTAAAAAGAAACGTACAATAGACTCATATTATGAGAAGAGTGAAGATCAAGACAGAAATTCTGAAGAGGACAACATTGTCAACAAACCCACATCTGCAACAACAAAAGGGAATATGAACTGGTCTGAAGCCCAAAAAGCCTTCTTAGAAGAGCTCAAGAAGGATTTTAATAGTCAAATGAGAGAGGTAAAAGAGTCCTTCAAAAATACAATTGGCCAGTTGGAAAAAAAATACACTGAAGAAAACAAGTCCCTAAAAAACACAATTGGCCAATTGAAGAAGGAAGGACAAAAACTAACAGAAGAGTACACTGAAGAAAACAAGTCCCTAAAAAACACAATTGGCCAGTTGAAGAAGGAAGTACAAAATCTAACAGAAGAGTATGCTGAAGGAAACAAGTCCCTAAAAAACACAATTGGCCAGTTGAAGAAGGAAGTACAAAAACTAACAGAAGAAAACAATCTGTTAAAAACTAGAATTGGACAAATGGAAACTAATGTCTCTATGAGAGAGCAAGAATCAGTCAAACAGAAACAAAAAAATGAAAAAATCGATGAAAATGTAAAATACCTCATCAGTAAAACAACCGACCTGGAAAATCGACTCAGGAGAGACAATTTAAAAATTATTGGACTACCTGAAAATCATGATGAAAAAAAGAGCCTGGACAGTATCTTTCAGGAAATCATAAAGGAAAACTGCCCAGAAGTCCTAGAACCAGAAGGGAAAATAACCATAGAAAGAATCCACCGATCACCACCTGAAAGAGATCCCAAATTGACAACGCCAAGAAATATAATAGCAAAATTCCAAAATTACCAGATGAAAGAGAAGGTGCTGCAAGCAGCCAGAAAGAAAGAATTTAAATATCATGGAACCACAGTCAGGATTACACAGGACCTTGCAGCTTCTACATTAAAAGACCGCAGGGCATGGAACATGATATTCCGTAAGGCAAAGGAGCTTGGAATGCAGCCAAGGATCAATTACCCAGCAAAAATGAGCATCATTTTTCAAGGGAGGAGGTGGATATTCAACGAAATAGGAGACTTCCAAACTTTCCTGATAAAAAGACCAGAGCTCAACAAAAAATTTGATCTTCAAGTACAGGACTCAAGAAGGACTTAAAAAGGTAAATGGGACAGAAGGATACAATATGTTGTTAATAAGGGGGGGGCTGTTTAAACCCCTACAAGGGAATATGAGACTTGCAACCCTTGAGAACTGTATTGTTATTACACCTTGTTAAAGGAGTATACATAAAGAGGGTGGATATTAGTTGACTTTGATGTAATGATAAAAAAAAATCTAATCAAGTGGGTTAAATGGATCCAAATAAGTGGATCAATCTATCTTAGAAAAGTACTGAGAAAGGAGGAGGCAGACAAGGGTAAATTACATTACAGGAAAAGACACAAAATCCTATTACAGCAGAGGGAAAGGGGAGCATTGTTTGAACCTTACTCTCATCAGATTAGGCTCAAGAAGGGCATAATATAATCAGTTAGGTATAGAAATCTAACTTGCCCTATAGGCAGTAGGAGGGAAAAGGGGAAAGAAAAGGGAGGGGGAAAGAAAAGGGAGGGGGAAAGAAGGGAGGGAAGCAGCAGTAAGACTAAAGGGGAAGAAAAGGGAAAGGGATAATAAAAGGGGAAGGGACTGAAGGAGGCGTGGTCAAAAGCAAAACACTAGTGAAGGGAGAAAGGAAAAAGGAGAAAGAAAAGCATAAATGGGGGAAAGGATGGAGAAAAAGACACAGATAGTAATCATAACTGTGAATGTGAATGGGATGAACTCTCCCATAAAACAGAAATGGATTGCAGAATGGATTAAAAACCATAATCCTACAATATGTTGTTTACAGGAAACACATTTGAAAAAGAGTGACACATACAGGGTAAAGGTAAAAGGCTGGAGCAGAATATATTATGCTCAGCTGAAGTAAAAAAGCAGGGGTAGCAATCCTGATCTCAGACAAAGCAAAAGCAAAAATAGATCTAATCAAAAGAGATAAGGAAGGAAACTACATCCTGCTAAAAGGCACCATAGACAATGAAGTAATATCATTACTAAATATATATGCACCAAATGGTATAGCATCCAAATTCTTACAGGAGAAGTTCAGGGAGTTACAGGAAGAAATAGACAGCAAAACTATACTAGTGGGGGACCTGAACCTCCCCTCTCGCACTAGATAAGTCTAACCACAAAATAAACAAGAAAGAAGTTAAGGAGGTGAATAGAACATTAGAAAAGTTAGGTATGATAGACCTCTGGAGAAAACTGAATGGGGATAGAAAGGAATATACTTTTTTCTCATCAGTACATGGCACATACACAAAAATTGACCATGTACTAGGGCATAAAAACCTCACAATCCAATGCAGAAAGGCAGAAATATTAAATGCATCCTTTTCAGATCATGATGCAATAAAAATTATATGTAATAAAGGGCCATGGAAAGATAGACTAAAAAATAATTGGAAACTAAATAATCTAATCCTAAAAAATGACTGGGTCAAACAACAAATCATAGAAACAATCAATAATTTCATTCAAGAGAATGACAATAATGAGACAACATACCAAAACCTATGGGATGCAGCAAAGCAGTTCTTAGGGGAAGTTTTATATCTCTAAATGCTTACATAAATAAAATAGAAAAAGAGGAGATTAATGAATTGGGCATACAACTAAAAAAACTAGAAAAAGAACAAATTAAAAATCCTCAACTAAACACCAAATTAGAAATATTGAAAACCAAAGGAAAAATTAATAAAATTGAAATTAAGAAAACTATTGAACTAATAAATAAAACTAAGAGCTGGTTTTATGAAAAAACAATAAAAGATAAGCCTTTGGTTAATTTAATTAAAAAAAGAAAGAAGAAAACCAAATTACTAGTATCAAGAATGAAAAGGGGAAGCTACCACCAAGGAAGAGGAAATTAAAACAATAATTAGGAATTATTTTGCCCAACTATATGCCAACAAATTTGACAATCTTAGTGAAATGGATACATATTTACAAAAATATAAATTGCCCAGATTAACCGAAGAGGAAGTAAAATACTTAAATAACCCCATCTCAGAAAAAGAAATTGAACAAGCCATTGATGAACTCCCTAGGAAAAAATCTCCAGGGCCAGATGGATTTACATGCGAATTCTATCAAACATTTAAAGAACAATTAATTCCAATACTATATATACTATTTGGGAAAATAGGTGAAGAAGAAGTCTTACCAAATTCTTTTTATGATACAAATATGGTGTTGATACCTAAACCAGGAAGAGTCAAAATAGAGAAAGAAAATTATAGACCAATTTCTCTAATGAATATAGATGCAAAAATTTTAAACAAAATATTAGCAAGTAGATTACAGCAACTTATCACAAGAATAATACACTATGACCAGGTAGGATTTATAC